ATCCTGACAGACCTGCGGGTAGAGGGGCTCCACAGCAATGCTGCAGTCGGCCTGCAAAAAGATGTTCGCATTGTCGTTGCTCGCCGAGCTGCCCAGGCAGACGACAATCTCGCCATAAGACTGCATGATATCCAACATTTGACGCGTAGCCTCCGCCGAGCAGTCTGTGAAAAGCGACACCTGCAGCGGCACATTATCCACCTGCTCCAGATGTGGGCGAATGTTCTCTATGCCTCTCGGCAGCTTCGCGCGATTCGACATGTCGAAATTGATGGGCGCACTCTGATCGGTGCTCTCCGTGAGTGTGCTCAGCGAGCGGCAGTTCTCATCCATAGCCGAGTCGAGGGAATGTCGCTGCTTATGCCGCTCGGTATCGGGCTCTTCGTCGACTATTAGCTCCGCATTCTCATCATTCTCTTTGCTTGCATCTAGCTCATTAGCTGCATCTGAGATTTCGGCTGGAACATTGCATTCATCGGGATTCGATATAGCACCGGGCGCCGAGCAGCTTAACGTTTTTGAGGACTCCAAATTTTTAGGCGGTTCGAGCAAGTAGCTCAGCTTAGGTCCATCCGGCGGATCACCTATAATATCGGTAGTCTGTTTAGCGATTGGCGTGCCTGTGACATCCCCATCGGGTGGCTGAATGTGCATGACGTGGTCACTGGGTAAATGAATGGCAACAGTATCTGTGGTGGTGCTGGTGGTTTTGGTATTGGTGTTGTTGGTGGTTGTTGTATTGGTCTCATTGATTATTTTACCCGCATGCTTTGACGACTTGCTCGGATTGTCCGATTCCTTGACTTTGCTAACCGTTGGCTTCTCTCGCTCCGGCTCTGGTTCGCTGAGCAACGAGATGTGACAATTCCAGCCGGACTCCAGGCCCATCTTCTCGGAGAAGACACGCGACCGCAGCTCGTTCTCCTTGCTGAAGTGCACGAAGCGTATGCACGCCCGCTCCAGTCGCTCCACCAGATGCACAATGTCATTCTGCGCCTGATACTGCATGGTGACCATGCCAATAAACACCTGATGACACTGCATCTCAAAGCAGCCCTCCACATCATTGCAATCCTCATCCTTGCTCTCCGAGAACAGCAGCGAGTCCGTGCTAATGCTGTGGCTCAGCTTCACATGGTGGCCACCCTCAAAGTCGCAATGCGACTTGTCCACATGCTGCATGCGCAGCTTCGACTCTGGCGGCAACTCCAGATAAGCAATCTGTCCATTACTGTGCAGCGGCCCACTCAACGCTCCATGGATGCCATGGCGCAAGGGTCGATAGGCGAACGCTGTGCAGTACGAAGTCAAAGCGCTGCGCTGATAAAAGTCCAAAGCACGCTTACGATCCTGTGGCGAGAGCGGACGCAAGTCCTTGCCATCCCAGAAGTCATCGCAGCAGTCTAATATAATGTCCGCCGTGCCCTGCGTGAACAGCGAGAGATAGCCGCCGGGATTCTCACGCATCACCACCGACAAGGAATGAGGAAAGGGCACCTTCACCTTGCTTGAGAGCTGCAGCTGTCGAGCAAATCGAATGTCCCGACGCACAACATCCGGTTGCTATGAAAGAAGGTGGAGATGCATAAATCAAAGATGGAATGGGTTAATCTGTGGAGTCTGTATCTTGTCAGACCAGCCACGTATAAGTCTCTCTCTCTCTCTCTCTTTCTGACTTACCAAATGCCTATAGCTGGCCAATTGACCCTCCAGTGCAAAACGATCCGTTGCATGATCGGTGAAGCCAATCTGTTTGGCTAGCTCGCACAGACAGCGTCTGGTTCAACAAATCGAACACCATGTATAAATATATATAGAAAACCGATTAGAACTGGCACCAACTGCTGGACTTGCGAAGGTAGATGGCTGATGGCAGAGTGGGTGTGTGTGTGAAAGCATGCGAGGCATTCAAGCGTAATGCGTATATATATACGATTTGTATATACATATACTAGATGGGGGACATTCGGGAGGGATGTTTGTTTGGATGGGGGCCGACTGTATTTGAAGCATTCTTGGCAACATAATAATTTTTGTTACTTAAAATAGCATGCCAATTAACATTAGACAAACGTATGTAGTGCTACGGATGGGATGGACGAAAAGTGCGTTCCATTAACAAGCAACATATAACAAATAATGAGAATTTACAAAATCAACATTAAATAAAACCTTAATATATATATATACATCTATATACAAAAATAGAAATATATATGAATATAATGAAAAAGTAAAGAGGTCATGTAATTTGTTATGTTTTGCTGAATTTTGTAGGATTTATGTACAAAAATGAAATAAATAAATAATTTGCCTCAAATTGAGCCAATTAAAATTTAGCTAAGAAATCATTCGCATATCTAAAATACTTAATGGATTTCTCGATTGTTTGTTTAACTGAAAGTCAAAAATGATTAAATTGATTTAAGAATAGTATAACTTTACCAATTGCATGTTTTGTTTACATATAGATATATTGTACTATATCTTTTTGGGGAGTTTATCAATCCAATTTGAAGTGTCGGTGTTTTGCAATCAAAACAAAAATAAAAAATTATCTGGTTGCTCCACAATAAAGTGTGGGCAACCGAGACTTGGCGCATATACGCAATGCATATATGCTTTATAATATCAATAAAATAAAAATAAACAATACAAGACCAAATTTGGCATATATATATGTATATAGATAATCAATTATCATTATCGTAATAAAAGAAGAATCGGTTCTGTTTTGGTTAAGGCAATAATGATAGCAACGATTATGGCAATGAACTACGTACCCATGCAATAGGCTTTTCATACTGGACTCAAACATCGCATACCGATTCGTGACGGGCACCAGATCTTTGTCGAGCATGGCCACGGCGCTGACATGGCCACAGAACTGCGCATAGTGCTCGTGGGTTAACGGCGAACAGGTGTTCAGTAGAATGGCCAGACCTATTAGGAAGAGATTCGATTTAACAAACAGCAATGCAAATATTCTTCTGACTCACCCAAAGGCTTTAGTGATTTGATATGCGCCTTCCACTCGTGATCGTCGAATTCCAGGCGGAAGGGGCAGTGTTGATCGTGAGTGAGATCGAGTACTTCTGCCACAACGCCTCGCTCTTTGTTCTCCGGATCGTTGACATTGTCGCTTTCCGTGGACATAGACAGCTGGCTGCCACCGTCCTGCCGCTCCTCTTCGGTGTTGTGCAGAAAGAAAACCTTTTCGGCAGTGGGATTGGGCCATGAGAGGATGCCTTTCTTGTCCACACAGCAAAGCGCAGATATGGAGCCGAGCACCTGCACCAGATTGGCCGAGCGCGGCAACAGTTCGCTGTCACCCTGCCACAGCTGCATCCAGATGCGCAACACATTGGAGCGTAGCAGCGAGATGCTATCGTAGTCATAGCCTGGGGTATCTATATCTAGGTCCTCAAACGATTTACTGGTGCACTTCTCAAGTATGGCCTGCGGCGTTTTCAGGAAGCACTGCAGTCGTGCAATGCCCCACAGATTCATGGATATCCACAGCACTGGGAAAACCAATGGCAACAAGGGTATAACAGCCGCTGCTGGTGAGCCAATCAGCACATGTCGCCAATTATGCTTCTCATCCGTGGACAATCCATAACCGTGCAGACGCAGCAGGCCCGCAAAGAGAGTGATGACCAAGGCGCTAATAAAACCCCATTGTTGGATGTACTTTGTCACCAGCTTAAGACAAAAGAGCAGAGTTTTATAAAAAAGAATTATTTGAATTAGTAATGAGCTCATACCAAATAGCGTTGTTGATTGTAGATGGTTGGCGGTCGCTTCAGCGAGTTCTTTAGGCACAAACGTAAGTTCTCCAAATACGGCGTGCGCTCTAGGCAGCATACTAAATCGGGCAGCGGCGCACGTGCCGTTGGTTTGACTGGCGGATCGCCAAGCTGCGCCGCAGAGATGCCATAGATTTCGCTGGTATTGAAAAACCGTTTAGTCTGCAACTCATGGCAGGGTCCCGGCGATATGTGACCCGGTCGCAGCACAATATAATCTCCACGCACCAACAGCGCCCAGGGCAGATTAACTATATGTCCATCTCGATAGGTCCACTGCAGTGAGACACATGGAGACATGGGGTTATTTAGATGCGGATAGTTCGACTCATGCCAATTGTCGCTCAAATGCTGCTCGGCCAGCCGCAGCTCCGACAAAGCATGTCGAGTCTTTCGAAAAATTTCCGTACGTCGCAAGTTACTCTCCCTAATGACCACATATAAGTCCACCAGCAGAATGATGAGCAAACAAATTGCGGGCCAGAACATGCCTGTGATCAAGAGAGCGCCGCTTGTGACCAGCGTCGTGCCGATTGATAGCCAGCCGAGGGGGCTGTCATAACGCTTCATGAATGCCGCACGAAATTTACAAGTGCAGCTAATTGAAGAGTAGGGGATACAAGTTGGGTATTATTACACTTAGAACTCATTGATTGTGCCCGTACGCAAGTATACCTCTCTGCTCTGCTCGCCCGCTCATGCTCCAGCAGCACGTTCTCAATGTCCTCGTGCAGCCGTGAAAGTGCCACCTTTGTGGTCAGGCCGTATTGTATGTTTTGCTTACGCGCAGACTTCGACGACGACGTCGACGGTGACGCTGATGGCATACGCCTTCCTGCCTCTGGCACGGCGTCTGCGTCAGCGTCAGCGTCACCTTTGTCATTGCTACATTTTGGCTCCGTTGCTGCCTCTGCTGTGTTTTCGCTCGGCATCTTAGCGTCTTAAACCGCAAATTCAATATTACTTTCAGTTAGCATACGCCTGTCTAACACATTGTTTTCACAATATCTCTATGCACTGGTTGCTGCTGCTGCTAGAAGGCGTGTGTTTATTTGTTGCTGTTCGCTTTGCTTGTGCGAAATACATATGTGCACGCGTTGCCAAACGTGCGTTGCGCTGCTGCCACTATTTGAATACAGTTGGCAACGCTACTCACTGATAAGAGGCGCAGTCAAACTTTTAAAAAGAGACGGCATTTGTCAAGGTTTGTTTACATTGAGATTCGTCTATATCTAAAAGGTGTAAGCTATTTCATATTTTCTAAATAATTATTATTTTGCTTTAATCCATTTAAGAATAAATTCACATTCATTACTCTTGCCAATCTACTGCCTTAAAGATTTTTGTTTTATCAGCATCGATAGGCCAACTATCGTCAAGTATTTTTGTAATTTGCGATATCTTTCAACTTAGTCCATCTTTTGTTGTTGTTGAAGAGCAGGTCGAATATACAACATTTGCTATGGAGCAGATCTGCCGCACATGCATGACCAACTCGGTAGCTCTCGTGGATATATTCACCGATCAGCGGGAACCTAGCTTGGCCGCAATGCTCTGCGAGTGCGTCGCCTCCATCAAAATCAATTTGAATGATGAGCTGCCACAGAAAATGTGCCTTTCGTGCATATGTGATATACAAACTGCATTTGCATTCAAGCGCAGGTGCGAGAAAAGTCATCAGGTGCTTAGCGAGAACTTAAAAAAAAGTGAAATACTAGATGCAATAAAGGTTGAAGTACCAGAGGCGGACACATATGTATTGTTGGGCACTGAGTATAATTTACAAGAGGAGCAAAAAGCATGCAAAATAGAAGACAATGATAACAGCAGTTCCATTGTTGCTGTATCTAATCAAAATCCATCTGACCTTCAGCTGTTGAGCACCGCGATAAATATACAGTCAGAATTGCTGGAAACAGAGAACTGGGAACGGTCAGAGCCAGATATGGATATAGGTTGCATCAAAGTGGAACAAGAGGCGCAAAAATTTGAATACAATCCGCTGACAGATGACGCAGCGAACCAAAAAGAGTTCGAATCAAATGCTGCCACAGAACACTCTCCTAGGAGAGAGACCAAAAAGGGGCAATTTACGTGTCCACACTGCCCAAAACGGTTTTCCCAAAAATGTCATCTCAACTCGCACATACGCATCCACACAGGCGAGAAGCCATTTAAATGCCCGCATTGTCCGAAAGCCTTTAGCCAGGCTTCAAATCTCCGCAAGCACATTTGCATTCATTCAGGTGAACGCCCGTTTAAATGTCCTCACTGTACGCGAGCCTTTACGCGCCACACGGATCTTCAGTATCACGTCTCCACGCATCCAGGCAAACAGACTTACAAATGCCAGAGCTGCACAAGATATTTCATTGAGGAGGCCGAGCTTGAGGAGCATATGCGATATCATAACGGTGAACGTACTTACAAATGCCAACTTTGTCCCAGGGAATATGTGCTCGCCTGGCAGCTGCAGCGGCATATCCGCACGCATACGGGCGAGTATCCATTCAAGTGTCCGCATTGCCCCAAAAATTGTGTTGACAAAGGAGAGCTTGGCAGGCACATACGGTCTCACACTGGAGAGCGTCCACACAAATGTCCACAATGTCCAAAAGCCTTTACTCGAGCTAGTTATCTCAAATCGCACATAAACGCTCATACTGAAAATTAGTGACTTTTAGTGTTAAGCTGAAAGTTGATTCTGTAAATATATAAATTAATGTAAAGTTATAATTAGCTATATATTAAATTAAATGTGTAATATATATGTACATGTATATTATTAAAGATTTAAATATTAATTGAAATCAAAACATTTAAAAACTATGTTAATTCGATTACATTTTTAGATTTTGAAAAATATCGATATAACGTTCTGGTACGTATCGATAGGCGAAGTTGCGATAACAGACTGAAAATAGTGTTGGCAATTGATTGCATTAAAGAAATTTATTATTGTATGCCTGTGCGTAGCAAAAACAAATTGCAGCTTCTAAATGGACTCCAGGCTGGATGTAAGTGCTTAAGCCAAAGAGAAGAAACATTTCCTTGCCAAGGAACTTCTTTTAACTGTGTTCATTTCATAGATGTTTGAGGACGTCAATACATCGCCCTCTTTGGAGGGCGACATGTCTATACCGGGCAAACGCACGACAACAACATCACAACATGGAGTGCCCGAATATAACACTCTGGACGAGCCCATACGTGAAACGGTGTTGAGAGATATACGCGCTGTTGGCGTAAAGTTCTATCATGTGCTCTATCCCAAAGAGAAGTCGAGTCTTCTTCGCGATTGTACGTCATCAAAAGCCACTGCAATATGTATGCGTCAGCAGTTTTTAATGTTTACATTTTTTACTTACAGGGGATTTATGGGGTCCTTTGGTGCTGTGCACCTTTATGGCTACGATTCTGCAAGGCTCGTCGTCTGCGGACAGCATGTCTGATAATGGACCCGAATTCGCGCAGGTCTTTGTGATTGTTTGGATAGGTGCAGCCATTGTAACGCTCAACTCCAAGCTGCTTGGTGGCAATATGTATGTAGCTCAAACAGCAATTATTGTATTGTATTTACTTAACTATTACATTATTTGCTCTTTGTTGAACAGCTCATTTTTCCAATCGGTTTGCGTGCTCGGCTATTGTCTAACACCCATTGCTCTTTCCTTGATCATTTGTCGTATCATATTGTTATCCAGTCAGACGCGTTTTCTTTTCTTCTTACGCTTTGTTACCACAACACTAGGCTTTGCCTGGGCTACATACGGTAAGTAGACATATGGTGTATGATAAATCATGCCTTCATTAATTATTATTTTCTTTTATTTTATTGTGCAGCTTCGTTTATCTTTCTGGGTCAAAGCCAACCGCCGCATCGCAAGCCACTCGCAGTCTATCCCATATTTCTGTTTTTCTTCGTCATATCCTGGCTGGTGTTATCGCATAATTAGTTATTAGCTGTGCTTAGTTTATAAATTGTATCAACTTTCCATAGCATAACCAAATCGATTGTAAATTTATATATATATTTTAATTTGATAACTGTGACCATGCCATGTTTTAAGGTACAAATTGCTTTTTATTTATTTTAACTCTTAAGATCTTACAATGTATATATATATTTATATGTATATGTGTGTGTTTTGGTTAAACGTCCAAACTGTTAGCTGACGTGGCTACCTCGAGAGACATTTGCATTTGGACGCCATCGCCTCTAGTGGGGCGATACGTTAACGAATTGGCACGCGCCTTGCGGCCCATAAAGTGCCGTTCCACCCACTTCAGCAGCGTGTAGACGGAGTCAGTCGAGGGCAAGCGATGATCGGCAGCGGTCTTCACAATATCCGATGAGGTGACACGGAACGTGCGTGCCATACCCTTCAGAGCCTATTAAAGAGAGAAATTACAAAAATTAGTAGAGTTTTTTAGCAGTTAAACATTCTCTTCTACTTACCACCATGGCATCCTCATCCGTATTGTCGTCGCCCACGTAGATAATCTTGATGCGTTCGTTCCAGTCAACGCCAAAGGACGTACGCAATATGTAGATGGAAGCCCGACCCTTGTTCCACTGCACAGGTGGACGTGCCTCGAGCGCGCAATGCGCTTCCGTCGCCCTAAATCCATATTTCTCGATCAGGCTGCGCGCCTTGTTGACCATGTCCGCGCGCAGCTGGGTGGGTGTCTCGCGGTAATGGAAGGTGAGCAGCGAGCCTTTGTTCTCCACCCAGGCGCCATCGCGGCACACCGAGTCCTGCAGCGCCTTGAGCAATAGACTCACCTTGTCCTCATACTCAATTGGCATGGGATGGACAAATTTACTGCCATCGGGATGCAGAATCTCTAGACCATGATTGCCCGCATAGGTGATGCCTTCGATGCCCACCATTTTCTTGACATTGTCCACGTTGCGTCCAGAGATGACGGCCACGTAGACATCCGAGTGATTGGACAGCTTGAACAGCACATTCTTAATCTCAGGCGAAAGCGTGGCCAAATCTGGATGAGGAGCAATGGGCGCCAGAGTACCATCGTAGTCCAGCAACAGGGCAAGCTTGTGATTGTAGCCGATGTATCTGAAGGGAGGAAACGAGAGTCAGTGCATCAACTAGAGAATATAAAAAATGCACTCACTTGAGTAAGTAGTCATCGAAGTCGTCTACAGAGACGGGCTGCATAATGGTGGTGCCCACGTCGTCCATTTCCAGAGCACCCACGGCCTTCAGGAAGCAGCGCATCCAGTGGCTGACATCGCATTCGGCCTCTCGACGACGTAGACGCGCCATACGCAGCACTCGCTCATCCTCGGGCATGGTCAAGGCACGATGAATCACCTCAGCGGCTTCGTTCACCTCGTACGGATTGCAGAGCAGCGCCTCGTGCATCATTTCACCGGCGCCGGCAAACGGCGAAATGACCAGCACGCCGGGCACTTCGTTAATCTGGCAAGCGACAAACTCCTTGGCCACCAGATTCATGCCATCGCGCAACGGGGTGACCAGGCAGACAGCGGCATCGCGATATAAGGCGGCCAGCTCGTCCTGGCTCACATAGTCATAGATGTAGCGAATAGGCGCCCAGTTGGCAGTGGTGAAACGGCCATTGATGCGTCCGACTAGTTGGTCCACTTCTTCCTTCAGCTCACGGTATTCCTTGACGTCTGTGCGAGAGGGCACAGAGATCTGCAGCAAGCTGACCTTCTCCTTGTGCTGTGGATACTTGAGCAGCAGCGCCTCGAACGCCATCAGACGATGCACCAGGCCCTTGGTGTAGTCCAACCGATCGACGCCGAGAATAATCTGTTGCTTGGAGGTTTTCAGCACTTTGGGTGCATTCTGGGCAAGATTGACAAAGCGCTCGTAAGGAATGCCAATGGGCAGTGGACGGATGCGCACAGTGCGACCGCCATGTTCCACCAGCAGATTGTTGCGATCCACACGACAGCCCAGATTGCGTTGGCAGCAGTCCACAAAGTTGAGGCAGTAGTCCTGAATGTGGAAACCAACCAGATCGCAGCCGAGCATGCCCTGCAGTATCTCATCAGACCAAGGCAGCAGACGGAAGATGTCCCATGGTGGGAACGGTATGTGCAGGAAGAAGGCCAAGCGACAGGGCAGATTCTTCTCCTCGGCATGCTCACGCACCCAATTGGCGGCCAACATCAAATGATAGTCGTGTATCCAGACGATTGGTGGATTCTTCTCGCTTCCGTTGTTCTTGGCCAGACACTTCTCCAGCGCCTCGATGGTTCGCACGGCGAAGTGCTTGTTCACGGCCACATAGTCGTTCCAGTGCTCGCCCCCGAAGTTTGCACGTCCCGGCATCGAGTGGAAGAGTGGCCAGAACATCTTGTTGCAGCAGCCATTGTAGTAGCTGTCAAAGATCTTGGAATCGATGTTCACCGACACCACTTGGTCGGACTTCAGGCCAGCTGTTGGCGTCTGATCGTAGGGATTCGATTCGGGTATCGCCTCATTGGGATCCTCCAGATGTATGCCTGCCCAGCCAACCCATAAGCCGCTGCCTTTGATAACAACCGGACAGACTGCCGTAACGAGACCTCCAGCACTGCAATGGATATGATTGAATGGGGTTCAGTTAGGTAGATATAATGCGTTATATATACTTAGAGTAAGTCAATAAGTCAATCTAATCGACGGAGAGTTACCAATTAACACTCACTGATTGACGTGCTGGATGGATGACTGGTCCTCAGAGCATCTAACCACCTAATCAAGTGTCTGATTGACTAGTTAACTATCTGATTATCTACCTCACTATATAATGGATTACAACTTGGCTAAAATCTATTCATAACTTTGTAACAATCCATAAAAATGAAAAGTAGCTAACCTACTGTGGGATTGATCCAATTGACTGATATTTAAATTCTTGTGAGAGTTAAAGATTAAGAAATTGGAAATTAATAGTTTCAATGCCTATTTATTGACTAATCGATTGACTAATTGAATGATTGACAGTCTGTACTGGCAAACATGTATTTTAAATGTTTATGGATGGTTCAAGGTAGTACAGATCAATAGACGTTATAATGAGCACAAACATTAGACACGGGCAAAACCGGACAATACCTGCTATATACACACTTATGCATATACATATATGTCCGTCATATATATGCAACAGATTCAGACCCAGCCCCATTTTTTATGCAGAGTGCATCAGAATGACACCGAAGCTAACCGCACTGATAAGAAATATACCATAAAAAAAACAGCCCCAGCCTGATACGGCGTAAGTGTAAATAACCTCGACTCTGGCTCAGAGACCAAAACCAATACTAAATAAAAAAAAAAAAAAACAACTAAAAATTAGTGTATAGAAAAAATAATGCCCCAATTCAGTTTTTGGGTAGGGTCAGTTTGAAAGCGAACAGAACTAGATTAGCTTGAGTGCACGTGATATTGCTTCTTGTTTTGCGATTTTTTCAGTGTCAGGTTCGCTTCGTTATGAAAGCCTTGAAATGACGCCTATAGTAATGACCCCTTTTAAAGCAATATTGCCTCGACGTCTTCGTCGTTAGGCAGCAAGGGTCAAAACCGCCTAATGGGCTCTCATAGATAAGGTCTAGCTAGCTCGCTCATATTATTGAATTTGTTTTCTAATTTCAAATAAAGTTTACTAGACTTTGCATTTCAAATACCACCCTCTCCATCTCTATCTCTCTCTTTCTGTGTATTTTGCGCTGATAAGACAGTTGACAGCCTTATTATGAGAGGCGCTAATCACACGAAGCGTGTGGAAACAATATCACGATTATATGGACCGCTGTTAGGTAGGTAGTTCAGTTCCCTAATGAGGGGGCTGTACTCCTCTCGTCTTATCGCCAATGCAAATTGAATTGGTTTAGTTTTCGAAACAAAATCTTGAAGCGTTGCTTGCTTTCAAGTTTCTCTCTCTCTCTCGTTTTAAGAGACTTCGATTAGCTCGTTCGCTGCCAATATTTATATTATAATTTATATTATTAATCTGTAGTATTTTATAGTTTTGTTTTTCGGTGTAAGGCATAGTACAGTCCTATGCGTACAATGAACCTTTACTGTTATTTTTGGCTACGCAGAGTTGGAAAATTACACGAAAATCTGTTAGAGATAGTTGAATTTGAAATGTTACGGAATTTTGTTGATTAAAACTTAAGTTGAACCATTAGAGATCAGCATCCGAGAAAGTTTCTTGAAAAGCCCATAAGCACTCTTTTTTTAGTTTTCCAGCAAACACTTTGTTGTATCTTAAATTTTTTTAAAATTATTTGATTTAACTTGGCGAAAATATATTTTCTAAAAATATTCACATCTTTTTAATTTGATAGACAAATTTTAAAATTATCAATGTTCAAAGATTAGGCAAATTTTGTAAACATCACAGATATTTTCACGAACCGAAATTTATTTTCGATATTTTATTAATTATGTTTGTAGATTAAAATTATCACTTATGTTAAGCAGATTTAAAAATAATATATTTATTTTATTTCTTAAATATATTTTTAAAATCTGTATTATGTAAAACTTAAAATTTTGCCACACTTTATTTCTGCTAAAACTTTACATAAAATAAATTAAAAATTTTTTTTTTCAGTTTGGCCACAATAATTTTTTTTTTTTTTTTTTTTTTTGGAAAGTGAAAAGTGAAAATTTTTAAATCAAAATATCTTAACTCACCTAGCTTTGCGTTCCAGCTCTTTAGTTTTAGCATTGCGCGTCAAGACGAAGGGCAAACGATTGGAGACAACGATGAGACTGGCCTTGGTCGAGGGCTCAGCGGCATTGGTCACAATGATCTCCGTGTCGGCCATTTTGATTGGTCTAAATCAGTTGCCGATATCGATGCTATATGTTTACAGATCGTAGAGAAAGCAATGCACACGAATTAATGTCACTTGACTAAATAGTTTTTCTTTAGCACATAGTTTGAGAGCAGAGCAAAAGAATTTGAATAGGATGTGTTGAGTAGTGCTTTGTGGCACCTTCCCTTTGGGCCTTGGACTTGTGTGCGCTGCGCTCTGCGGCTCACAACTGATTAGTAGATTAATATGAAGAGCCACACGAAATGCAGTGGCTATCTGGATGCAACGATGTAGACGTCTATGTGGACGGGGCTTATCAAATAGCCACCTCTATATATACTCCTCGTATATATACATATAAATATATATATATATATATATAAGCGTACGCTTACCGTAGAGAGATGAACAGAGAGAACACGTTTCGCGTTTGCCGAAAAAGAGCGCTGAAGCAAAATTTCTAATTGCACGGCCAAATACTCCGCCGCACTCTTTCCGGCTGCTGTGACTTATCAATGCAGGTCGCAACTGGAAAAACAGTTGAATTTGTTCTTTTCCCGCTGGCCTTTTGAGATTCCCACCGTAGCCAGCAGCAGATCCGTACCCAGCCAATAATAGACGAGCACTAATGCCAATCTCTCGCTCAGCTCGCAGTTTTCTTCAAAAAATCAAGTGTGTTCAGGTTCCACAGAGTCCACAAAGCTTGGCTTATCAGAAAATCGCCGAGTCTGCTCTATAATCAATCTGTATACACTTGCAGCTCATTATGTATGTGCGAAAGCGTGCTGGAAGCTTCATTAGAGTCCCACAATAGAGTCAAGATTACAACTGCTTGGAAGTTCAGTTCAGTTTCCATTTGCATAATCTAACTTGAGGATCAAGGAGTGAAAATTTTACATGGTTAAAGCTTATAAGAGAACTAGACCAAGTACTATCATTAGCAAGTCGGTTCTAGCTAGCTGGGTCCGGTTTTATCAGGCATTTTAATTGTCAATAAGTCGTTATGCGTGTTGATATTTATTTTTCTGTCCGAATTATATATAATTCGATTTCTATTTTGGGATTCAAAGCATCCCTTGGCTGCAGTAAAATTACAAATTGTAAAGCTTAACCCTAACTTGACCTTGTGACAACCTTATATACAATTAATTGACGGTTAAACATTATTTTAAAACATCTACAAATAAATGAATGAGAGAAAGAGAAGAGCGGGAGAGAGAAAGGAAGACAGAAAGAGAGATAGACAATGCTGATAAGAGTTGATCGCGCTGTGCAATCGCTTGCATTGTTTATGCAATGCATAGCAGATTTAGATTTGGCTAATTACGTAGGGATTAGGTACAGTTTCTAGTGTTTATGTATGGGTGTTTGTGTGCCTAAGCATCGCTGAACTTGAACGCTTGATCATGTCTGGCATTCATGCGCTTATCATGACGCTAAACCTACGGTTTACGTGATGCCTGGAATTTGCAATAACATTTATTTGAGCAAATCAATTCTTAGTCATTTGCCATCCTGCATTTGATAACCCGTTCAAGGGTCGCTTGGATGCATTTATTTATATTTTCATTTAATTGTTGTTTGACGCAAGCTCTATTTAAAGACGCAAAAAAGTAACGGCTGTAACATAGCAGGCAGCTAATGTCTGCTGCTGCTATCGATCGCTTTTATTGGCGCGCTTTTTTAGACACATCGATAACTTTTTTCGCATTGTTTATTTACATTGGCAGAAATACAAATAAACATGGATCCTTCAATTATTGAGTTTATTGGCGAGAAATCCATGATTAGTATTATTCCCAACTTCTCAAATGAACCGCTACATCTGGTTTATGGATCTGTGGGTCCGTTTCGCGCTGGCTTTCCAGTTTTTGTGCCGCTGTGGCTTGCCACACATTTGCGAAAACAACAAAAATGCCGAATTGTTCCGCCCGAATGGATGGAGCTGGAAACACTGGAAGAGATTAAAGAGGAAGAGAAGCGCTCTAAGTGAGTTCCCAAATGATAATAATCTGTATATTATGCTCAATTATCTGTATCGGTCTTAGATTCTTCACAAAGATGCCCTGCGAGCATTATATGGTTGTCGCTCAACTGGTTATGAGCACAGCTCCAGATGATGTGCCACGCTGCGAGGAACTGCGCACTATTATTAAGGACATCTTCGACATACGTGAATCGAAATTGCGCACCTCTATCGATGCCTTCATCAAGGGCGAAGGCACCTACGCCAAGCTGGATAATTTAACGCTCTTAGAAATTCACAGCGTTCGTCCTATTCTGCCCTATTCCCTTGATCACATAGCGCGCTACCAAAGAATGGCCACTGCCTCGCAGCGAGATACCTCCATGTTGGGCTTGAATACAACGGGCAGCGCTTCAGGCACAGGCTCTATGAGCAATTCCCTTTTCACACAGTAAAAGTTTGTGATAAATAAGCTTAAGTTTAATTATAGAAAAATAAATATAAATCAGAGAAGATTCAATTCAAATAATTCTTTAGTATCTGTAATTACAAAAACGGTTTTTATCTTCCATTTGGTTCTTTGTTAACAGTTTCGGGATGTATTCTCTTCACATGTCTGCATAGGTTATCCCAGCGAGGCGTTACAAACTTGCAGCCAGCAATAATGCAGACATGCAGCTCGACACCGGCACCAGGATTCTCCATGTGCTTGACAATATGTCGCTTAATATTATAACAACGAGTCGTACGATAGCTGCAGCTGTTGCATTCATACGTTTTTGTTTTGCCTTTCTGATGGGTTCTTCTGCAATAAAACAAATTATTAATATATGTACATATCTGTATGTCAAATAGATTTTTACTTACTTCGGCTTGACAATATTTTGTTTGTTGATTTTGGTTTCGTGCTTTGACTGTGCTTCACTTATTGGCTCTGGATACTCTTCCATTGACTCGTCATTCTCATCATATGGCAGTGATGCTTGGTCATCCTCCTCAAAAGCAAATTCTTCTTCCTCTTCTTCTTTATTAGCTGGATATTCAATACTTGGTGCAGTTGAAAGATTTCCATCGTCGCTGAGCGTGGAGTCCTCTTGAAATGACATTTTAATTTCTTTCTTGTTTTTAATCTTTGTAGTGGCATTAGTCGATTCACGATGTATTCCCTGTCGGTGACGTATGAGATTATCCCAACGCAATGTTGTGAAGGAGCAGCCAGCATATGGACAAATGTGCTGCAGCTCCATTGGAGGCTTCTCGTAGTGGTTGACCATATGTCGTTGAACATTGTAGGCGCGATTGGTTTGATAGCTGCATTTTGGGCATTTATATATTTTAGCTGATTTCGGTGCTTTCTTCGGCACTATTACTATAACATCATCTTCCATTTTCTTCCTTTTTTGTTTTCAAATTGAACCTAAATATAAGAATTCACATTAGGAAAGAGCTATTAGAGAACTTAAAAACTTACCGCAAAATATTGAAGTTTAAGTTTTTATCATACGCAAGCTCAGTTCAGGTTAAATATTATTAATAGATTATTGCGAAGAAGGCAAAATTAATATTGTTAATTGTTTTTGTTTTGTTTCATTTATTTACACACGGAACATACTATTCCAACAGCTGAGAGTAAAGTGTGACCGTTTATAGCTATTAACTATATCGATGTCCAGTTTTGGCTTTCGTGACGATTGCTAAAATACCACGTAAAGAGAGGTTCATTTAAAACTATGATAAGAAATCTTACAGACAAATTACAAATAAAAATTCAAGTACTTACAAATAAGACTTTATATTAATTTTTTGTCAGATTAAATTATATTTAATATATTTTTGCTAGTTGCTAGCTTAAATAAGCTCAACAGCTATGATTTCACATTTAGAATTTGACTTAGTCAATTACTACTACATTTAGTAAATAATAAAGAAACCTACATAGCTGTATCTCTGGCACTAACCAGAGAACACATAGACTAGACATCTAGAACAAATTTTTTCACCGGCGAAAAAATGCGCTGAGGAGACTACACAACTTCGTATTTGCTCGGCTCAGTCTCTTGAGGCTCAAGCATTGAAAATAAGGCAAGACAAAATCAGTGTGCTGCGAGCGCTGCCACGAAATGCACGCATTACCAAATGAAGCACGGCTATGCGCTCTTTTTCCCTTGCTCACTCTCTCCCTCTCTTTATGCTCTCTCTCTATGGTCTCTCGAATGGCAGCAGCGCACAAAAATTGAAAATTGTTCGCGACGATCTGAGCTCGTTCCTTTTGAGTGAAGGGTATACCGAAATTTGTAAAGCGTTCGCCACGTTCATGCAAACAAAATGTAAGCGTTTCGATGGTTATTCGTGGGAAGGGTATGAAAGCGTTGATACGCATAAACAATATGATTTCGCGACGGGCAAGTACACACACACTTGTAGTCCCTTGCTTCATGTATGAGCATTTGTGACCTGCGTGCGTTACTCTTGCTGCTTGTAGCAATTTTAAAGCCCAGCATTTGCATTTGGTCGGTCTTACGGACTGTCATAACCACTTTACACAGATGTACTATGTACTATGAACATACATACATATGTACATAAGTACATTTATATATTATTATTGCTAATCATGTTTATAAATGTGTCTATATATAATTAAAATTATTTTATACACATTTTTAACCGAAAAAATTATCGTAAAACACTACTAACTTTATTAAATGCTTTGCAATATATGAAATACACATGTCATATTATACTCAAGCTTTACTCATTATGCATTATCATTGCATTAAGTCATAATGGCCCATTTGATAGTCACCCTACGATTCAAATCATACAAAATTTACAAAATAATAATTCCAGAGACAATTAGCTTGCCATCCCATACAAGCATACACATACACAAATGTATGTATGCATGTGCTCACTTCACAAGGCAGACCAACGGCAAATTTTGGGCTTTACAATTTGCACAGCCTGTTCTGCACAGAAAGAATACATTTTCGCGACGAGCATGCACACACACATTTACATGGGCATCAATACTTTCAAACCCTGCCGCAGGTAGCAAGGTAGAGAGTGAGCAAGGGAAAAAGAGCGCATAGCCGTGCTTCATTTGGTAATGCGTGCATTTCGTGGCAGCGCTCGCAGCACACTGATTTTGTCTTGCCTTATTTTCAATGCTTGAGCCTCAAGAGACTGAGCCGAGCAAATACGAAGTTGTGTAGTCTCCTCAGCGCATTTTTTCGCCGGTGAAAAAATTTGTTCTAGATGTCTAGTCTATGTGTTCTCTGGTTAGTGATCTCTGGTTAGTGCTGTATATAGTGGGCGCGTACTTTCGACTATAATATCGATAATTATTTAATCGATACCTCTAACAAAGTCATATCGCTATAACAGCTGTCGTAAAAATACAATGTCCGCGTTGCACTGTGAATGGCATTTATGACGCGGACTGCAAAAAGTTGTGTTCGACTAAAATCTCTGTCAGAAATCGAGGAATATTGCTGGAAAACAAGATGAGTGAGCCTGCGGCGACAACAGCGGCTGATACCGCTGTCGTTCCATCGATGGGCAACAATAAAATACACTTTTCCAAGGAAGTGAAGCAGGTTATAGACAAGGTAAGTGACATGGCAAACATATGCCACGATTGTGACAGCTCTGCAATAATTATCAAAATAATTGTTTTATGAAGGTCCTGAAAACGGACGAACAGGATCCCATGGATGCCCCCGATTTCAATACTGTAGACTACATCAACCAATTGTTTCCCAATGAGCAGTCGCTGGCCACCATCGATGAGACAATTCAGCGAATGCAATGCGAAGTCTCGCTAATCGATGATAATATTCGCTCTGTGGTGCGTGGGCAGACGAACACGGGCCAGGATGGGCAACTAGCGCTGTGCGAGGCACAGAAGGTGATCAGTTCACTATACAGCCATATTATTGATGTGAAAACTCGTGCCGAACGCACCGAGGAAATGGTCAAGGAAATTACGCGTGATATAAAGCAATTGGATTGTGCTAAGCGAAATCTGACCTCAGCTATAACTACTCTGAATCACTTGCACATGCTTGTCGGGGGCATTGAGAGCTTGAATGAACTAATTGTGCGTCGCTCCTATGGCGAGATTCTCAATCCATTGCAAGCCATTACCGAAGTGAATCAGCATTTCCAGCAGTATTCGGACATTGAGGAAATCAAGGTGGGGATATTCAACTAAGGAAAAGATTGTCATATAATCACATCAATTCATATTTTAGAATCTCTCCCAAAGCGTGGACAAAATTCAAGTGACACTGGCTCAGCAAATCACCGAGGATTTTAAGGAGGCCTTTGCCAGCAAACCTTCCACGCAACACAAATTGGGCTTGAATCAATTGGCGGATGCTTGCAAGGTGATGTCTGTGCTGGACGCCAAGGTAAAGAAGGAGCTGCTCAAATGGTTTATAGCCCAACAGCTGGAGGAGTATATGCATTTGTTTCACGAGAATCAGGACATTGCCTGGTTGGATAAGATCGATAAACGCTATGCTTGGCTTAAGCGTCACTTGCTCGACTTCGAGGATAAATATGGCGCTGTGTTTCCGCTCGACTGGGAGGTGTCCGAGCGCATTACGGTAGAGTTTTGTCGCCAGACACGTCAACAGCTATCGCAGATCATGGCCAAGCGAACGAACGAGATTGATGTACGCCTGCTGCTGTTCGCCATTAATAAGACGCAAGCCTTTGAGCAATTGCTCTCCAAACGTTTTACGGGCATCACCTTGGGCGCCACGCCCGCCGAGCAGACGCGTGTGCTCACACTTCCAGCGACAGCGGAGGCGCCGCTCACCGCAACTGTATTCCACGACCAGATTGGTCAATGCTTTAAGCCACATTTGGATATTTATATACGCAGCATTGATCGCAATCTTTCCGAGTTGCTAGAGAAATTCATTGAGATGTCGAAGGAGCCGTACAAGTTTGCAGAGGCCAAGACCACCGTCTACCCCAGTTCGGGTGATCTTTTTGTCTTCTACAAGAAGTGCATGGTGCAGTGTAATCAGCTGAGCAACGAACAGCCCATGTACGATCTGGCACTGGTGTTCAAAAAGTATTTACGCGAATACGCTGCCAAAGTGCTGGAGGGCAGCACGCCAAAGGTGGTGACCAGCAGCACGGGCAGTTCCATTGGCAAAAGCGTTTCGTTGCTGACCCGCGACATGCAGAATCTGTCCACAGCTGCCGGCCAGGTATTCCACAACTTTCTGAAAGAGGGCGACACTCAGCGCTTCGCTCGGGATGATCTTGTGCGTATTTGCTGTGTCTTGACCACAGGTGAATATTGCCTGGAGACGGTGCAACAGCTGGAGGATAAACTGAAGGAGAAAGTAACGCCTGCTTATGTTAGCAAAATAGATATGAGTGAGGAGAAGGATGTGTTCCACCGGTAAGAGAATTTTCTATTGAAATTATATATTAAAAACTAATTATTGTAAATCGGCTGCTCTCACAGCATCATTTCCAACTGCATACAGTTGCTCGTCCAGGATCTAGAGGCTGGCTGTGAGGCTTCTTTGCAGGCCATGGCCAAGGTGCAGTGGCAGCACATCAGCAACGTGGGCGATCAGAGCGCGTTCATTAGCAGCATTTGCAGCAATTTCAAGCAAACGGTTCCCACCATACGCGATACACTCGCCAGCTCCCGCAAATACTTCACACAATTCTGTCATCGCTTTGTTGCCGCTTTCATACCCAAGTTCATCAATGTGCTCTACAGATGCAAGCTGACTCTGTCGGATGGCTCCAACAATGTGCTGGGCTGTGAGCAGCTGCTGCTGGACACGCATTCGCTGAAGACGGCGCTGCTGGAGCTGCCTTCAGTAGGTTCGAGTGTGAACCGCAAGGCGCCGACGAGCTACACCAAAGTTGTGGTCAAGGATATGACGCGTGCCGAAATGATCATCAAAGTGGTCATGACGCCCGTCCAGCCGCCGGCGCATTTTACACAGCAGGTGCTGAAGCTACTCCCGGACATAACCATAGCCGAGTACCAGAAAATATTGGACATGAAGGCGGTGAAGCGAGTCGATCAGCTGCAGCTCATTGATCTGTTCAAGCACACAGCCTCCGCGGCGGCGGTTAGTGGACTGATGGATGCACCAGCGAGCGAAGAGGAGACACCAACGGTTACTGACGCGCCTGCGCCTACCACGGAGGAGCCAGAGGCAATAGAAAATCCTACAGCCAACGCCACAGAGACAGCAAGCACTACCGCAGCAAATGCCACGCCTAAGCGCGCCTTCATCTTCAGCGTGGGCAGCTTCACGGGCAGTGCGGACAAGAATGCCGATGGCAGTTCCCAAACGGGCATCCGCAAACTGGAGAGCCTGCTCAAGAAACGGTTTCCCTAGTCAAATGCGCTAATTAGTAAATACTAAATCTAACATTCCATTCAATTAGTTCGATGTAATTCTGAATGGAAACAAAACCTGTTTCCCTCGAAAGCCTAACTTAAAGTTAGTATTCATTATGAACTGACCAGATTTCTAATATATACATATATTTTTAAGCCTTTTCTAGGCCTTCGAAAAAAATTGATAATAATATTAAAAGACACAAAATAAGTTTACTAAATATGGTATTTGCTTTTATTATAGACTTTTGACTTCTCTTAGCTTTAAAACCATTAGCTTATGTGACTATATTGAAAATTGTATATATCTTAGATGTTCGTTAATGACTAAGTTGGTCGCTTAAACACTGTGGAGCTCTTAGATATCTAGGGTTTGCGTTTATTTTATGTACATGCGATAACTAAATAAGGAAATTCCTCTTCTCCTTTTCTTTTTTTTGTTAAAATAAACCGTATGATCTATAATTTGAAGATCTTTTGAAAGTTTTGAAAGTCGCCAATGAGAGCGAACACAAAAATACAAATCTCTATAACAAATGACTTAAGACACGAACTAAATTAGAGCGTAAAATTAATATTTGAATATTTCTGTTGAAATTTTGTTCTTGCTGTTGTTTGTTTTTATGTTTAATATGCTTTGGTTTAATTCCAGCACTGCAAAACCTATATAGTTACTATATATAGTTGTATATATAATGTATATATATTAATGTTGGTGTGTATGTATGTATATAAGCTATATGACTATTACGCAGTAGGCGTGGCTGATCAGCATTCATAGGCCAGTTAGCAAACAATTGGCTAACAACGCCCGAAGCTCTCGCTCTTCTTCTTTTTAAGTTCTATTTACACAGGGCTAGTCTCACACACACTCTCACATTCAAATACACGGTATTTAAGGAAGTCGAGTATGCCTAAGGCTACAAATGGGGAGTCATCCTTGCTGGTGCCGTCTTCTTCTTCTTTACTTTCTCCTTAGACAGCTACAATTTTGCTGGGATCCACCTTGACGCGCAGAAAGACGGTGTCGGCCTTGATGAAGGGTCGGCTATGCAGCAGCTCGTGCGAGATGAAACGTGGAAATCCAAAGCCAAGCTGATCGGGCTCGTTCGATGGCCGTTGGAAGTTCTCCCAGGTTGGATCGGGCACAAACGACTCGGCCACGCCGCCCTGGCCGCTCTGGGCGCCCTGCTCGAACAGCGTGAAGGTGATGGAGTGCGAGAAGGGCCACTTGAGCAGCGCATCATATTCTCCGGGCAGCACTTTGATGTACACCGAGACATGGGTGTTCTCGCCCGGTCCGTTGCCATTGAGAAACATCGATGCCTGCAGCTTGTAGCCGTACTGTGAGGTGTAGAACGGCGGCGAGACCAGCTCCAGGCCGTCCTTGCCGCGCGCCTCATTCATTTTGGCTGACCAATCGGTGATCTTCCAGAGCAGCGTGCCGGTGTAGTTGATCGACAGCTTGGACACCGCCGACTTGAGCATCTGGATCTGTTGACCCTGGCGGCTGCTGAGTGCCACCATCAGCGACAAGTGAGCCGCGGCGCTGCTCTCCAGATGCGCCTCCAGCAGCTGGCGCGGACCCTTGAAGCGGCAGCCAGCCTCCTTGAAGCTGCAGGCCAGAGCCAGCGACTGGCACTCGTCGCGCAGATGCGCCTCCAGCTCGCCGCGTGGTATCGGACCCGCATCGCAGCGCTGCGGACAGGCGAGTGGAGTGCGCGGACACTGGGCCGCATGCAGCTGCAACGTGTCGGCCGAGAACTCGCGCTGGCAATGGGCGCAGCGACGCAACCGCTTGGCGCAGTCCTTCGACTTGTGCAGACTCATGCGACCGCGCAACACACGCTGGCCGCACTTGGCCTCGCAGTAGACCGGCTCCTGGCCGCAGCTGCCGTTGTGCTCCTCCAGGCCAGCGCCCGAGAACTCGCTCTGGCAGAACTCGCAGCGTGTGCGGCGCATCGTGCAGGTGTACTGCAGGTGATCGGTCATCATGATGCGCGGTATCTGTGCGCCACACTTGTTGGGGCACTGGGTGGCGTCGTGCTTGCATGTGTTCAAATGAGCCTTCAGCTTGCGCAGCTCATCCGACCACTTGCAGCCCTGCTTGTGGTGTATGCAAAAGACCAGCGAGCCCATTATCGCTTGCTTCGGATCGGGACCAGGATAGATCTGCAAATTATAAAGGAGAGGAGCAATTAGTGGGAGTTTCTGAACTCTTATATATTTATTGATAGGTGTTCTTGAGGAAAAGGATTTTAGAGTTGCCAAAAGAGTCTCTCAGTTACATAGATAAATGGTTCATTATGGAAGATCAAAGATCGTCGTTTTTCTAAAAATTAATTTCAGGTAGTCGTTAATAAGTATCTACATGCGTACTGAAAGTAAAATTATCTAGCAGATACAAGATGTTCCAAGTACAATATTTATCAGATATCATACGCCCATATATGCATATGTATGTATAAGAATACTAACTTAAGTGCCTACTTGGTGAACGAATGAGGAGAGTATCTATAAGATACAATATCTTTAGTGCCTTTGAAATATTCATTAGCCTATTGAGTGAAACTATGCTTAAGTATTTATCTTTCATAGTCCAGATCCAGATGCGATAGATAAAATATATTTGCATAGTTTTCAACTAAAATATATGTTTACAGTTAAAATATCTTTCAGATACAATATCCTTATCACTCACTTTACACTTGACTTTGCCAAAACGTTGCCAAAAACCCATCGAACTCAACTCACGAACTTGCAGTTCTCGACTGTTGTAGGTGCCAGACTAGGCAAAGACTTTTATACCTCACTGTGATTGATTTGTTCCTTATTCCTTATTCCTGTTCTCGCCTATCTACTGATAAGCCATATTTAAGGATGTAGCTACATAGGTGTTTTATCTACTTAGCCAGCCCAACCTCTTCATTTAATTTTCAGGTTTCTTTCATTTTTGTTGAGCTACCTAAAGCGAGATTTGCTACCTGCAGCTACCACACCTCACACATCTAAGAGTCGTCAACTGTTTACACATGACTGATCATGTTCTAAGACACACACACACCTAGACATACGCATAGAGGCACTTCCTGTCTCCCATTTTGGGTTTGCTTGACTGCATTTTGTGCATGCGCCTGGGTTCGAGGCGAGCTCGCTGCATACTTTTCTTTTGCTTTGCCTGCTTTTCTCTTAATTACAACAACGCAGGGGGAGCAGGGGGTGTGGCTAACAGGGAATGCGGCGCAGCAACTAACATCCGGCGCGTTGCTATATTATATATACATATACATATATAAGAAATTATGCGAAAATATGCAATCTAATTAGAGGAAATTTTTCATGTGAAAAAGAAAAATGTTTAAATGCGACAATGTAAATTCCTGAGCTGATTGACTGACTGATTGATTGATGAAGAAGTGAAGTATAACTAACTGTTGCAAATTTCACTCTTAAATGTGAAAAATGAGTGGAAATGTTTTGTTTATTTCGGAAATTCCATATAGTAAAAGCAATTGAATTTCACTGTGAAGTCTTTGCTCAGGCATTGCCACATAACTGTATATGTACTCAGGCACACATGTGTGTTTATCGGTGCGTATGTGCGAGCGTGTATGATCGATACCCCAGTACCCCTTTTTTTCGTTCTCCAACAACTTTGCAGCTCCTAACCGAGCGTCGCGACATTTCCGGTTGACTCTTTTAATTGACCTTATCTGCAGCTCGACGGCGCTTCGGGCTGAGCGTGGCTTGAGTTTTGATAAATGAACATGTCTCGACATGTCGCACAGGCCTACAACAACATCTCCCCAAGAGAGCGACAGAGTGAGAGAGAATGACATCAAAATGAAAGATATATAATAAGCAATTAACACATGAGCCGAGCCCCGTCCGGGTCGCTCGCTCTGGAATGGGCGTAAAGCATGAAAAAATAATAATAAAACAAAAAATGAGAAAAAAATAATAATCATACACATACATCTGCATGTATGTATGTATGTACATATACATTTCTATGGAATTGCCTTTTGCTGGTAATTTAATTTAGCTTGAAAACAAGTTTTGCGCTATTCTTACTTCATAGATTTCATATTTTTATGTCAACTAAAAAAGAGCATCAAAAACTGAACTTCAGTTTCTTATGTGAACTCCACGAAACTGTTGACCAATTAGCTGAATTTCTGAATTGGGTGCCGAAGATTCATGCAGCCAAAGCATATCTCTCGATGCATAAACAAATTTAAGGAAATGAAGTTTGTGTAAACATGATGTAAATGATGTAAACATTAATTGAAAACTGGCGAGGAGATCAAAAGGCCGACGACTGTTTGTCAACTTGGAGAGCAATGCCAACTGTTTACAAGGAAATCAAACAGGAACAGCGACAGACAGATCAAGATGTGGTAGAGGCGGGGAAAGAGGGAGGCAGCTAGAGATCATTGACTTTTTATACAAGCAATTACTCCAGTTTTATATATACATATATATTTTTTTTTCTATGAGTCTGAGTTTTGGACCACACAGCAAAGCTCAAATGATTATATACTATATAATTAAAGTGAACCGGAAAAATATATAAATATAATGGCTTAGACCGATGTCAATTCGGTAAATAAGCTGAGCTGCCTTGAAGACAACGAACAATTTATATGTTGGGGCGTCTTTAGCTACATTGTACATTGAACTCCAGTTAGATGATTAACGAATATCACTTAAAAAACAGTTTGCCAAATGTTATGCAATGCTAAAATTGAAAAAAAAAAAAATCCATTTGCTGCACTCCAAATCATGTTATATAAAACTCGAATCATTTAAAATTCAATTTGTGCGTGCAGACCATGAAAATGAAAGCGCTGACAGCAGACAGAAAAAAAAAAAAACAATAAACAAAACAAAACATTGTTTAAAAAAATATATAAATGAAAAAAAAAAAAAAATAAATAAATAAATAAATAAACAAAACAAGCTTAACAATTAACAATAACAAAAAAGAAGCTTAAGCAAAATTAATTAACACAAAGAATGAAACAAGAGACAACGGCTTCTTTTTTGACAGAGGATAACTAATGATTTAAGATCCATAAACAGAGTATAGATAGTATGGATAGTGTAGGTAATATAGAGATTATGTATATAAAGTGTTAATAGCATAGATAGTATGGATAATATTGATGCTAGCGATAGCCTAGATAATATAGAGAGTTTCGATAGTATAGATAGTAGC